TATTTGGATGGTCTTTTCATATTAGCTCAATAAATCTTTGATTAATTATAATGGAAAGGGATCCTGAGCTCCCAGACTAAAGGAAACAAGGGGATAAAATACATGTCAAACAAAGAAAGAAAACAATTAATGGCTCGGCTGTAAAATTGCTATCTTTATGACTGAGACCTTTAAAAAAATTATGGCAGGCAATACTGCAAGCCAGATACATTCTGTAGCCAACAGGGCAGGGCCATTCTCCCTGGCTGGAAGGGACTGTCCAATTAGGACTCTGCTGTAGCCACAGTTACATGGCATTTGTAACTTATAACACAGTAATTTCCAGCACATTCTTTTCCTAGTATTAAATTAGATTTTCAAACTTTAAATTGGCTAAGATGAGCCAACATGAAAGGCTCAAGGAGGAGGGAAAGTAAAACTTAACTCCTCACAGGCAATTCATTTTATCGCCAAGAGCAGGGACCCTGTTTAAAAACAAGCGTTATCTCAGCTCTAACCAAAGTCCGACTTCATAGGTGATTTAGTTGTTTTATTTTATAAAGCAGACATATCTGAAACAGTACAGAATCTTGTCTATGTGGCACTTCTGAGTTTGCTGGCTAGAAAGATATTGAGTAGGTGAGTGTTTATATGCAATGTGCATCTTCCCAAGGCTCCACCGCATGGCTCTCTACATGGACACAGCATGGGCAGCAATGGTTTTAAGACACCGGACAGAAGAGAAGGACAGAAGCAATTCCCGAGAGTTGGGCAACAAGACGAACCCTACAGTCGCCCCAGCTCACTACCTCGAGAGTTTCTAGGTCATGGATGGGAGCCTAATTCTGCTGACTTGACAAAGCAGTGGAGACCAAAGGAATTAATAGATGTGGTGAAACTATTATCCAACTTAATGAGATAATTGATCTATAAAGACTATTTTCTGCCGGGCAGTGGTGGCGCACGCCTATAATCCCAGCACTCGGGAGGCAGAGGCAGGCAGATCTCTGTGAGTTCGAGGCCAGCTTGGTCTATAGGGTAAGTTCCAGGACAGGCTCCAAAGCTACAGAGAAACTGTGTCTAAAAAAACAAAAACAAAAACAAAACAAAGACTGTATTTTCTACCAGCAAATAGAAAATAAATGGTCTATTTATAGGCGCAGTTACTCAGGAGGCTGAGGTAGGAGGATTACTTAACTAGAGTTTAAGACTAGTCTGGACAGTACAGAGATTTTTCTCTTCCCAAAAAGGAGTGCATATTCTTTTTAAGCATATCCTGACCATTAACCAAAATAGAGACTATTTGTACCATAGAGTCTCAACAAGTTAAAAAATTCAACACAAACAAAATGGATTTTTTTTTTATCACAGTGAAGTTGAAACCAACAGCAGACAGACCTTTGCAAACTCCCAAAACAGATTAAAAAAAAAAAAGAACAGATTTCTAACTAACTTATGTGTCAAAGAAGAAATCAAAACAGAAATTAAAAGTTATCTTCCATTGAAATAAAGGCGGAAACACAGTGTATCAAAACTTGTGTGATATGAGACCCTTGGAGAGGAACTAAAAGTCTATGTTATGATTATTCTAAGAAGAACTTGAAAGGAGCCCCACATGGATGGACACTGCTCTTCCCAGAGATGGGAGTCATTAAACAAGAATCTCAGTGCTAGGCATGGGACATCTCCTGCAGCAACTACTCAGGCCCCAGAGGTCTCCAAACAATAGAAGTCATTGCCATTGATTGTCCCCCACAGCTAGACGAGCGCTTACTGCTGAAGCCCTGACACTTTTTGGTTGCAGGACGTAGAAATCAATCTTGAGCTGACTGGGGAGCCTTCCTCCCCGCTGGCTAGCTTTCACTGTGCTAGAAGGCATCACTGTAGATCAAGTTCTGAAGAATCTTATGTAAACATACATTATGGATCTCTTTATACATACATATGGATCTGTTGACTTCTTTAAGCATAGTTCATTTGAGATTCACCCATTTTGGAGCCTGTGGTAGTTCATTCTTTGTCTACTTCTGAGTTACACTTTGTCACCAGACTCAAACTACAGCAACAGCAAGCAGCTTGACTGTGTGTGGTTGTAGCAGGGAGCAGGGCCAGAAGCTGGGAGCAAAGACTACAAAGGACAGGGAAAATAGTTTGAGTTTATAGAAATGTTCTTGATTGTGCTCAAGATTTCCTTGGTATACACACATATTAAAATTTGTCAAATGATACATGTCAAACACATGCCAATTAGTTGTAGGCCAGTAGTCTCTCAATATGGCTGTTTTAAAAACTCATCCTGAGTGATTTGGCTGCAGGAATCTAAAGCCAAATCTATGCTGGGGAGACCCAAGATCACAGAACATCAAGATATTAATCTTCCTTGTTTCTAAAGCCTCCTTTGTCTTTGTGGAAGAAACCAGCCTTGTTCATCACAATTAATAAGCTTATCAAGTCTACAGTGACACAGACAAAATAGGGCATGTCATTCAACTAGACTCCACTATCCTCTCCTCTTGTGTAGGGGAGGGGCTAAGGTAAGCATATGAGAAAGATTTAATGTATTAGAAGATTATATGATAGGTTGTCAGAAATCTATGATATAAAACTAGAAAAGACTTGTTAATATAAAAAATATTTTCTTTACATGTTCTCTTTACTCTTCCACCCCTACCTTACCCTTCCCTTTTTAGTGTCTTTCTGTCTTTTGTCCCCTTCACTTCTGCTCCTGACCCCATCCCCCTCCCCGCCATTTACCAACAGGAGTAAACTGTGGCTTAGATCATAGTATAGACCCTGGCACGTTCCCTGCTTCTAGTTTCCCCGACACTGTTCAGGGTACGGCAGTTTGTATCTGGTTTCCATGATGTAGGCAGGGGTAAAAATCAAATGCCCTTTCTTTATAGGGTTGGCGTATAACAGTTATTCTCAACCTGTGGGTTGCGACCCCTTTGGGGATTTGCATCATGTATTTACATTACAATTCATAACAGGAACAACATCTCAGTTCTGAAATGGCAAGGAAATAATTTTATGGCTGGGGGTCATCACAGCATTAAGAACTGTATTAAAGGGTCTCAGCAATGGTGTATAAAATGAGTTGATACAGGAAGAACAACTTGGGAGTAGCTATCAATCACCATGCAAGTTACTGTCATCAGAACGCCCATTCTATGCCAGACACACTGGACTCCAATCCTGACATGTAAACAGCCTTAGGCACAAGGCAGCTTTGAGAATACATGAAATGCCAAGATCTGGATCCCAGTCCTGGCTTGGCCAGTAGGATTCCCTGGCCCCCACTGTGTTCCTCTTACATCAGAGCATAAGCTATGTATTGTTAAAATGGGAAGTTTGGTGTTGAAGATGTATTTATGACCCCTTTCAGCTTTAACTAGGGCATTTTCTAATTCAAAAGTATAAAACCATTACAAAATAAAAAGCTTAGCTATAACGTTTGGGCACAAATGAAGTGACCTCAGTTTTCCTATCACAGCGAAAGCCATCTGTCCCTCAGGGAGGAGAGCTAACAGCACAGCTAAAGGGACATCAAAGCATTAAAATGTCAGGGGAGTATGATGTTATTGCTTTAATGTTTTATGAGAAATTGTAACATACAGTTTTGATTCGTATCTTTAGGAAGTATTCAAGGTTCTGGATTTGAATTCCCTCTTCCCAGCACTGGACGTGAAGTCTCCCGAGAGGTCAGTGTGTGTGCATTTCATCTTTAAGTGGGGAGGAGATCCTGTTAGCCTGGCCTCAGTGATGGTGAAGTGAAGTGGTTCTCACTTCATACACGCTGAACGTGTTCTAGCTTTTCCAAAGTCAGGCATTCTGAGTGGTGAGTGAAGTAACCACAGAAAACTAGCATCCATACACATGAGCTTGTGTGAAATTCCCTGGAGAAGGATGGCATATTCTCTATGCAACGTGGTTGGTTGTGCAAGAAAAATAGCTTTTACAAGACAAAGAAATTTAATGCAGACACTTGAGTTGGTCTCATGACATGGTCTTGCATCACATGGTTTGGTGAGGGCAGCAGTCAGACATGAGTGTTCTGGAACAGAAGTGTGAGTGTGTGTGTATGTGTGTGTGTATGTATGTGTATATGTGTGTTGTTTACATGAGCATGAGGAGGCAGGCAGCCTGGAATTAGTGCCAATATCTGGAGGTGTTGACTATGGTGTGGACCGTCTTCTGCTAACCCTCTGGGAGAAACTGCGACATGGAAGGGAAAGCGTCACTGCTCGGAAGACTAAAGCAAGAGCGTCACACTGTTGCTGGGTCAAGGACTTAGCCACGAATGGCCACACTAATTGCCTGTGCGGTGGCTATCTATCAACTTGCCCATTGAAGACATATTGACATCAGGGACCAAATAGGACTTTTGCTAAAATAAATGAACATTAGGTCTTATGACCAGAGTCTCAAGTCTCTCCCGCCTGCCAGGACACTGTTTCTCCTTCTCAGGCCCTCCTTCTATTTACCAGGACACTGTTTCTATTTCTCATATTCCTTAGAGAAAAGTCTCCAACCGTTTCCTATTGGGAGGAGCTGCGGAGTTGCTTCCACAAGGCTTATGATATGACTAACACTAGGTCACTTGTTGCCAGCTGGAGCAGCCTGCCTCAGCTGGCAGATTATTATGAGTATTATTTATTATTTTTAGCTTTTTAGAGTTGCCAGCCGCTCTCATCAGCACTGTGGCCTTTGCAGAGTCCGTGAGGTGACCGGCACGTTTTCTCCCCCATCCACAGTAGACCAGAGAGGTGGAAAGTGAATGACGTGGCTACTATCTGAGAAGAAACAGTTCCCTTTAATGAGCTGGTGTCTCTAAGTGAGGGGTTGGGTGTGTGTGTGTGTGTGTGTGTGTGTGAGTGCGTGTGTGTGTGTGTGCACGCACACATGTGTGTGTTGGGAAGAGCAAACAGAAAATTTAAGTTTCACTCTGCTTTCTTGGATGGTTAGAGGATACCAGAGAATCTCTACCAATTACTGACTAAGTTTAATTTTTTTAAATTTTATTAGTTTATTACTAAAAATTGAGAAATAAACAAATAAAATGCAGAGTCACAGATATAAAACTAGCATTAGTTTATTTTCTCTTAATACTTTTCTGGCATATTTTCACACAGTTGACATCACATCTACATACTTATTTACAAGATATTCTATGCATTTCTCTATCACATACACACATTCACACAAACACACATGAAACAAGAGTCTTGCTTTTATATCCATATTGGACTCATGATCTTCATATATCACATGATATCATATTATATCCCATCATATATCATATATCACACTATATTATATCATATTAGTTTGTATTTTTTTGAGACAGGGTCGGGTCCTGCTTTTTAGCCAGGCCCCCTAGAACCCATGATCATACACCTCCTTTTCCTGAGCCATGGATTAATGATTGTGCCACCATGCCTAGCATATAATTATTTTTAATATCAAAATATTTCTACCATAGTGGAAATATAGTATGGTTAACTGTTCTCTTGTTATGTTGTTGGGAACACACATAAGTCACCTCACTTTCTCTTTAGGGTTATTTCTGTGAAGTGACGTTGCAGGATTAAACAATATAGTTTTTAGTCCTTAGATATATTTTAACCCAAGGTTTATAGCAAAAATATCACCCCCACACTAACTAGTATTTCCTAGTTTATATACACTAGTATATAAAAATATTTCATCTTAAGGCAATACTGTTAATATTGAGCATTTCCTGAAAAAAAGGGAAAAAACTTCCAAGTTTGATAGTAAAACAGTATTTTATTGTAATTCTATTTACAATTCTCTGATTACTAGCTTTTGTTCTTCCTTTTCTACTAACTGAGCCCAGTGTCTACATTTTCATCCTTATGAGTGAAATTATTTTATTTTATAAATTCTATTGACACAATGATTATATTCACTGGGGTGCAGTTTATTAGACTGTTTAAGTATTTGTTACACAAATATTCTAAAGACTGTAGTTTATTGACATAAAAAAATGAAGCATACATGTTTAGGGATCGTGTCATACTAACATTAAATACTGTTTCCAAACATCATGATTTGTTTTGCTGTGCAGCGGCTGCGGAAGGCAGTATTATACTTTCAAATCAAATAAGAACACATAATCTTTACATTAAGGACAAAAGGATTATAAAAATACAATTCTGATAAACTCTAGAAGACGGTATTGGGATGGCTGAAGAACAAACTCTTATATTTACCTCTTCAAAGAACAGATTATTTTTTTCACCTCTTTATGTGACTCCTTGTCCTATAAAGAAAACACAAATGCACAATGAAATGCCACACATTTATCTTGGTGCTCTAAGTACTTTGATACTGACTGTTTTTGATGTATGTGCATTTTCTGACAGACTCTTACAAATAGACTGCAGATTTCCTCGGACTACGCAGGATACGTGTCTATGAGAAGGCAGTTGATGTAGGGAGGTGTTTCTCCGTGAAATCTGGAGTGGGATGTAGGAGGGAAAGTCTTCACGTAGGCTGACAGACTGCTTTCCCCAATGTTAACGTGGTGCCGTCCCCATTTCTAGGCAGTGTGAAGTCATAGCCCTAACATCAGGATTTGAAGTTCCCCGAGATTACCCCAGAAGAGCCATATATACATAGTTTACATAGGCAAATATGTCACTTTATCATGTTTCATAAATGTTATACAATGCATTATTGACTTTATCAAGTAGCTTATATTGCAGGTAACTCTCCTATGAGTGATTAATGTCATCTGAAAATATTATAGCAATTTAAACTACAGCTTCTCCTTCAGATTAGTACATCTGTCACTGTAAATCAAGAATTTCTTTCCCATCTGAGCCTCCTTAGAATGCTCCAGGGTGCTGGACTTGAATGTTATCACTAGGCAAACGGTGAGGCTATTGATGACGTCAGTATTTCATTCGGCAATCATTACATACTGCCTCAGATATAGGAATTCGTTTTATTTTCAGTTTGAAAAAATGTTTCTTAGGATCTGTGACTAGCCCCTTAAAGTACAGAGATGCTCACGTAGGTCATAGAAATGTTGTAGTGTACTGTAAGGCTGTCTATACACATTAATTTGGGCTGACGGTCTGAGGAGCAGCTCCATGTGTGATGTGCTTAGAATATTCTGGTAGGAGGCAAACACACACTCGCGGGAGAAGTGTAATTCAAAGAAGTTACAGGTGCCAGAAGGGAGATGAGGGACGCTATGACAGCTCGCAGGCAGGGGAAGAAACTAACGGAGAAGCGTTTGCACTGCGTGGCACTGTGAATCTGGCAGCAAAGAACCTAGTTAGCAAAATCACTAACTGACCCAGCGAGTGTGAGATGGAAAAAACTTTCAGAGCAGGTGGTTATACATATAATTCATTTTATCCTATGCTCTCAACAGAAAGGAAATTGAATTCCTGACAGTACCTACACAACTTAGGAAAAAAGTTTAATAACACAAATGAAGGCTAGAAAAGATAAGAGAGTTGGACCCCAGTGCTGCTGAGGCCCTCGGACTCACGCTCACTGTCTGGACTCACCTCTTTGGTAACAATAGGCAGTAATAAGGCCAAGTTACAGAATTTCCATGCATCCTGAGATTCCTCGAGATCAACGTAACACTAGAAATGAAAAAAAAATCCATATTAAAGGTAACCTATGTTTACTGTAAAGCACTCAAAGTGATCTTTAACAGTCCCCTTCCTTACCTTGGCCACAAACATGTAGTTGGACACAGAATAGCCAGGTTGCAATTCTTCAGCCTGAATTAAGAGAAAGCAGACAGGAGGATAACACGGCCATGCTATAATAAGGATGCTGGTCATAACGGAAAGGGACATATTTCCATAAACCAGACACCAGGGGCCACGCTGTCACAAGAATTTTGGTTTTTTCCATGTTTGAATGCTTTTATTGGTGTAAGTATCTTTGTGTAAAAACAAAGCTTTCAAGGGTAATCATTAAAGTGGAGTGATGTTTCCATCATGATCATCATTAAGCTTTCCAAGACAACAAGAAGATTTCGTACATAATCATTGCCTTTATTTTTATTGTGCTACCCTCTTTCCTCTTTTCCTTTGAGAACAAAGACATCTGGCAACACAGTCTCCCTGGGACAGGTACTGTCCATGTCACAGTCTGTTTAGGAAATGAGAGTAGAGCATAGCTGTTACCCAGTGGCAAGCATTTCTAATAGACTAAGGCTGGAAAGCTTAGGAACACATGTCACATGACTTCAATAACATGTGACCATCTATCACATGCAGCGCTTTGACAGGAAACAGGATTGTTGAAACAGCTGGTCCTACTAGTAAACAGAGTAGGTACTTTCAATGTGCCCGACTCTGCTCTTCCGCCCACAATTCTTAATCTCTGGGGCCTAAGAATTCCTTTAGAGATAAGGTTCTAGAGAACTCTTGTAAGGACCCAAGTCGGTCTTTGCCCAGGAGCCAAAATTTGCCAAGGTGGAGAGGCATGCCAACTCCCAACCTGACACCAGTCCCCAGCCTGGAGGGACACAGAACCTAAGGGAAGAGACATACCTAAAGAACTTCAGAGTTCTTACTGCTTCCAGAGTAAGGCAAAGAGACCGGCTGAATAGGAAATTAATTTAACGGGTGGATACAGTACATGCTTAGATGTGTACAATACTATATTTATTTGTTCAAAGTTGTATCAGTAAAGCAATTATATACTTTAAGGGGGAAAAAAAACAACTGGTTTGATCTGATGCCTGAAGAACCTCCTCCAGAAGTGTCTGCAACTTAGAAGTGGTTGGTAAGATCTCACATCTCCTGGACAGCTATTTGCTCCACCTGAAACATTGTTTCCTGGAGGGAAGTAGGAGGCTTGCAAGACTCAAGAAGCTAAAGAAACTCAGCAGACACACGAAACTCAGGGACCTTAGCCAGATTTGAGGAAACCCAGATAGGTACGAGACTCACAAGGCAGGAAATAAGACTGCTCAGTGGAGCAACCTGAGCTGGAGAGGCGCTCGGGAGGCGGCTGCTGCAGGCTCCACCCACACTGGGATGGTCTTTTCAGTGCAGCTGCCGTGGGGTCACCTGTGCCCCATAAGCAGCCACCCACCCAGCTATGCTTGGGCAGAATCAGTTTGTTGTCTGTGTCCTGTCTGGTCCCGGTGAACATTTGTTCGCATCTCCCCAGAAAAGTCACACAACAGAATCCTTTAATATTATACTGGTTCCATGTCAAACTCATGAGGAATGCTGGGAGCAAGTCCAATAATTTGCTCTCAGACTTGGTAGTAAAGGGTTGCTCTACCTACAGGTTGATTCAGGCTACCGAATTTCTTTTAAAAAGTAGTTTGTCAGCAGTGTGTGGTGCCACACGCCTTTAATCCCAGCACTCAGGAGGCAGAGGCAGGTGGATCTCTTGAGTTTGCAGACAGCCTGGTCTATGGAGTGAGTTCCTGGACAGCCAGGGTAACACAGAGAAACTCTGTCTCAAAAAACCAACCAGCCAACAAACAAAACAAAACAAAAAGTTAGTGTGATGTTCCTAGGACCGAGAGCACAGTTTCAGATGCCAAAAGTTTAGATTTGAAGCATTACTCAAATCTCGAGAGACTTAAAGGCAACACCAATTCAACCCGGGGCTGCGATGAGGGCTCTGCACATGGCGAGAACGATTTCCTTGCCAACAGGACAGCTGACACTGGTGTGGATGAGGTGTCATGACACTGAAAGAACAGACAAACACACCTTAAGGAAGTTATGCAAAGCCTCATGAACAGTCGAAGATGGTATTTCCCCAAACAGAGTAGCGGCCATCTTTTTCTCAATCCAGCTGAGTTTTGAGACCTACACATACAAAGGAACACCATGTTTAGGAAGCTAGTCACCTTTGAATGATCACCTCTCTCCAGTTACATGTGTATGCATATATGTATCTGTGTGTATATCCATAACGCATGTTAATAAACACACTCATAACTCATATATCACAGTATGTGGTAGTGACAGGACCTACTTCATGCTATCAACTAGCCTTCTGCGTCAGCCACTTTCTTAGAGAAAGTCTAGGGTGTGTAGAGGGCTGAGAATCCTTACTTACTACTCAGAGCCCTGAAAGGCTCCTGGCAGATGCTCCAGTAGATGCCCCATACCCATGCACACACTCAGTGGGTTACAGACAAAGAGTAATTGAAGTTGGGAGGGAAGAGTGTTGGGGAGGGAAGGGGAGGTGCAGAGAAAGGAACAGGATGAACAAAACAAACTATGTGCATGTATGGAGTGCTCGGACAATAAAAAAGTAATCAAATACAATTTCATATTATTACTTATTTTTTCACTTCCCCCAAATATGAATATTGGGCATGTATTTCAGAAATGCTCCTTAAAGTCATTGATAGAGCTCCTGTCCTCTCAGTGACATCAAACATCTTCTCAACCTATTTTTTTTAAATTTCTAGGTAGTCATCTTCTGATAAAAAGAAATACATAGCTGTGGACCTAGGAACGGAGTCCTGAGGCAGAGCACTTCCCCAGCACGCATGTGGCTGTGGGTTCAATCCCCGGCACCGACAAACCTATGCGCATTTCTACATAATTTTATTTATTTGCTTAATTTTGTTATTCTAAGCTTTGTATAAAGTATATCACATTATTTATTTCCTTTCGTGATTTTTTTCACCTAACATTGCTTTTATCAGATTGCTGAGTATAGTTGAAGTTCAATGACTTCAATAAATTATTAGATATGGAATTTAATATTATTATGTGCTTTGCATTAGAATAGTTTTTGTATTATTGATTTATAAGTTATCAAAAAAGGCAGTTTGGGGGAAAATGGTCTGCTATACAAACATAAGGACTTGTGTCCGGTGGTCAGCACCCAAGTAAAGGGCATGGGGTAGGACACTTAACTGTAAGCCCAGCACTGGGGTAAGGAGTGAGATGGACAGACAGGTCTCTGACCCTTGTCGGCCAGCCAATCTTGTAGAATTGGTGAGCTCGATTCAGAGGGAGACAGGAACATGTGAAGTCTGCCAGCATTTTGTCAATTTGCAATATATGTGTATTTGCATAATTTAGTCAATTTTTATTTTATGGTTTTGAGGCTGGTATTAGCAGGCATAATAACTTACAAATTCTTTCATGGTTAATACATCTTGTTATTTGTGCAGAGTTAGCCTCTGTAGCTATGGAAGTAACTGTATCTTAAAATAGATGAGATACAATAAGAAATATAAAGCATAAAATTCACACGTGGTCTTCAATAAAAGAGAGCCTCCTTCCCCATCCTCTTTCGGCCTTAATGAAAAGGTTCCTGCTTATGTGAAGTCTAATTTCCTTACTTATGAATTGTATCATCAAGTCCTACACCTTCTTCATGCACCTTTTTGGATATACTTTTACATTTTGTAACTCTCCTGCATGTAGGGTTAAGCCAGCCCCTTAGGGGGCGGGCTTGCCTCGGGCGAATGTTTACTTATAAATCGGGCACAAACGGGCGCTCTCCTTCTGCTTCCTGTGCTCCGCAGGAACCTTGGTCCTGTAAGTTTATTTCTTCATTAAAGCTGTATATATTCTTTACAATCTGCCTGCATTTATTTACGCCGCTACACCTGCAAGCTAACAGTGTTAAGACACTAGGTCCTAGGTTGACCAGTTGCCCTAAGTCAAGCTATTTTGATATCTCATACTCCATTAAGTTAAGTTCTTTGAAGGAACCTGGCCTGTGTCATGCTTGGAGATAACTTTTGGGACTGTGGATTAGTGATAAATGTGGAAGATAGTCCTGAGTTTGATCCCTAGCACTACAAAAAAGAAACAGAAAAAAGAAAAAAGTATTTATCTTCTTTCTACAGAACCATGGGCAGAATACTTGCATGTGTGTGGTAGCTGATCTCAACCTGAGACAGCCCAAAGTATGACTTCTGAAATTCCATGGAAAGATAAGAAAAAAATGTACACACAAACACACATACCCCTAGATATAACACATAAAATGTAAGCTTACAAAAGATAAAATATATACATTATAATTTAAAATCGATATTTGATTTAAAAACATACGAGTCATAGATTAAAAACTATTTTTACAATGCTCTCTAGTGTGCAATAGGTAAAACCAGAAAAGAATGAGTAAGTCACTGAGAATGCACTAAATAGCCACATTGTCTTCAAGAGCTCTAAGCAAAGGCTTAACTCACAGTGTAACAGTATCTTCCCTTGAGGTAGTACAGGAAGGGCTCTTCCGGTAAGAGCTGGATGGCTTTTTCCAGATGCTCCTGGAAACAATCACAGCCAAGTCAGCTCCCGCTTTCAGAGCAGCGCCCAGCCTAAGAACCCAGCATGGTCTGACAGTGTCTCAGCCACTTCCCCATTCCTGACCACTCACACAGCTAAACCTCGGCAATAATTCCAAACTGAGATCCCTGCACCTGGAACCAAAGCAGCGCCTGTTCCTTAGGCACACCATGCTTAATCCCAAACCCAGCGCCACAGTGAAACCAGAATGCACCCAAGTCAAGTGTCTTTTGGTCCTGACTTTCCCAATGAAGACGCACCGACCCCAGCCCAGAAGCGAGTTTATTGGAACAAGATGGCATAAGGCAGGATTTAATTTAAGAGAAACAGCAGCGCTGGAGAGGCCATGGATGGCTTCCCTCAGCGCTGTCGGAGCGAGTACTGGGCACTGGGGCACAGGGAAGAGCCATTTTCTTCTACCACAATTACCCAGTCAGAGAGACTAGTTATTGGGTCACAAAAGCCAACAGCAAACAGGACATGGTATGTCAGCAAGTTGCTTAATTTATTCCTGCGTCATGGTAATTTTAAGCTTTATATCAGACCCTGTATCCTTCACCCCTGTCCCGGAAGTCAGTAGAGAGTGTTGACTGCCTAGCCCGTCATATGTTATGATGTCAGTGAGTTCATGGCCAAAATAAGTCAACACTCATTCTACTATGTGGGTTCTTGTACCATCTTGGATAATACTTAGCCACCAAATAGTTTGATTCTTTTTATTACAGTATTAACCACTTCATTTTCTGTTGTTTAAACATGAAACTAAATCCTTGGAGTTTAATATGCCAAGTAATCTCATGTCAGTTAGTAAAATGAAACATTTTGAACACCAAGAAATACCTTGAATAGATTTCCACAGTTAATCTTGTTTTGCAATCCCTCAAACTCAGACACATAACCACACAGAACTGCATACCTGAAAAGGAAAAAAAAAAAACAGTGTCCACCATGTAAAATCTGAAAAAAATGCTATTATCATATAACACTTATAATATGCCTCTAAAGCATCATCAATGTTTTACAGAAGCAATAATATAGATGCAAAGGCCCTATAAATAGATAGTTGACATTAATATGAAGCCACTTCTTCAGGAATAATGGGGCACAGGCATGTTGTCTATGCCACACACATGTGGTGAGGGTGAGTGAGTCATCCAAAGTGATGTGATTTGAACAATGCCTAGCAAGAAGGAGGTTTTAGCCAGTGCCAGGTTTTAGCCAGGCCATCATCAGTGACATCATCAGACAAAGCTCTCTCTCAGTCCAATCATGTACTAAACTGGGCAACAATGTGTTAACAGATTTATAAATCTTAAAACATATTAAAACCAATCTTTAAAACTTTCCCCGACCTCCTTAAATGTCACTGGAAACAAAACGACTATCCCGATTAAAACTAAATAAAACTAAAGATAATCTTACAGCATGCTTTGAAAAAAATTTCCATTTCTCCCAGTTCGAAACAGTGTATTAGTACAAGAGTGTATCCTGGGGATGTTTCCCCACTGGTAATACAAAATCAATAGCAGTGGTTATTTGACTATAGGCTGGATGCAACTCTTGTTCCGCAACTTGTGTGTTTACTTTAGAAACTGGTGATACATTGTTCTTCACACCTGTTTCTGTCTGTGCAAGTCTTCGGAGGATTTCAGAATGCTGCTGCCTGAGGCAAAACACACACGTTGAACTATCTTAGGATTATGGGATTGTTATTGCATTGCATTGTTAAACTGACTGAGATCAGGAATGTGGTTTTGTAGGCTATCTCAATCATTTCTCTGAATACGCAAAATTTCTAAGTACAAAAATGAAGCGAGCGATTTCTCAGTTTGGAACAGGATGACCATTCCGGGAAACAAAGGATGACAGAAGTCAACCAAGCATGAACAGCCAAGAGAATGACCTCTTTCAGCTGTGGCATTGTTCTCCGTACAGCCAATGGAATCCATTACAGTAGAGGCAGGAGGAACAATCAATCCAGCCTACTAGACATGATATGGGGATGGCGAGTAAGACACATGACTGCGCACACATTTTAAACGCGACTTCACTTTGTTCCTCTGCACCCTGAGGTTGGATATAAGAACAGTGCTGTTCCATAGGACCATTGGCCTCCTCTGTGGAATCTGTACCCTTTGCCTGCAGGCTCCGTGATCACTGCTGCTCCCGGGTTACTGTCTCAAGCCTTCAAGGCCAGGAATGGTGCTCCTCAGCTCTGTCCCCTTCTCCAACACTGACGTGAGTCTTTTGTTTCTCCATAAAAAGTATGTTCATGAGATCCCAAAATAAGTCGATGGGACTTTTTGGCTGGTGGTGTGTTGAATCTCAGGGCCACCATGGGAAACTGACATCTTGACAATGCTGGGCTGTGCACTTACGACATGAGCTAGCTCTCCGCATCCTTTACCGGAATTTTGCAGTTTTTCTCATATATTTTGTATGTTAAAAAAACCAAAGTATTTAAATTTGGGGGCATGCTATTGCAAACAGCAATGTGTTTTCATTTTAAATTTTAATTGCTAATTTCTAGTCTATATGAAAGCCACTGGGTTTTACACATCAGTTTTGTAACCTGTAGCCTTGCTTTGAGGACTAAATTCTAAGAGTAAAGGGTATCACATCTTCAGTCTGTATCTGTTGCATCCTTCTGTGCCTGAGCTGGAATGTAAAAAGGTGACATCCTGACGTCCCCTGGTGGTCTACACTCACACGGCAGGAAAGCAACTTTCCGACATTAGCAATGACAGTAACTGCAGCCAGTCTGGGGTCTGTTCTTTGCCAAGCTGAGAAAGTTCCCGTTCTCCTAGTTTTCTGAGAGGTTTTGTTTTACTTTCCACGAAGAAAAGCTGCCTGTCCAGCGTGTTTTTCTGCATCTACTGATGTCAGCAAATGCTTTCTTCTTCTTCCCTTTGGTAATTTGCTAACTGCGCCGAACCAGCTTCCCAAAAGCCCAGGAAAGAATCCACATGGCTACTGTGTGTTCTTTCTGTACACTGTGGGGATTCAGTTTGCTGATGCTTTTTAAAACTATTTCTATACCCATACTCATAAGATGCTGGCCTGCAGCTTTCTTGCAATATTTCCATCTTGTTCTAGAAGTACTCTACTGCTGGGAAAAAGAAGGGAATTCCGGAAGAACTTGGAGAAAGCTGGTGTGTTTCCCCCCTTAAATATGTGATAGAATTTACCAGTGGGTCCTAATATTTCATCCTCCTCCTCCTATTTAATAATAATAATTATTATTATTACTATTACTATCATTTGGTCTTTCGAGACAGGGTTTCTCTGTGTAACAGCCCTGGCTGTCCTGGAACTCACTTATATAGACCAGGCTGGCCTTGAACTCACAGAGATACACGTGCCTCTGCCTCCTGAATACTGGGATTAAAGGCACGCACCACCACACCTGGCTCTACTTAATTTTTAATAAATAAAGGTCTGGGTTGATTGCTTATTCATATGTTCTTTTGAAATGCGCTCTAAAGTTCTGCTGTATCATTGCCAAAGACTTCTCAGAGTGATTTCAACCCTAGAATTCCATGTAACTACCTCTGTTTTGATTATGAGTATTACAATTTTTCAGCTTATTTGGACTCCAAACCTCGGGTTACTTTCTATTCAAGTATACTTTCCTTTCAGTTTTAAATGTATAAAAACTTTGCATATGGCAGAGGCAGCAGCATATCCCACAGTGAGTTTCCTCATTATAGCATAATCTATTACTATAGTACAGTATTGTTATAGTACATTATTATTATAGTGCAGGATGAGTACTGATAACTGTTACAGTGAATCCATATTAATATACTATTACTAGTTAAGCTTTATATTTTATTCAACTTTCTGTTTTCCCGGATTTTGGACACTTTAATTCACATATTATTAGGGATTTTTTAAACATGGTAAAACTTTTTGAATTATTATTGTCATCTTTCATAAATCCAGCACCCCTTATTTTGTTTTCTATAATTTTATAAAAATACCTCCTATATTTTCTGAAAAATCAGCACTACTTAAGCAGTCTCTGGGTTTTTAATCTGCTCTTATTGCAATTCTTTCCAAGTTACTTGAGTGAAGAGAAAAGACAAATAAAGTTTATGAGTTATAAACATTGTAGGAATTATTCTTTTCCCTTTCAAATAATATGGCCCTAGAGACTTAGAATATTATAATTTTTGTCTTATTCTGTGCCATAAACTCCAAGGTCACTTGCTCACTTTCTTCTAAAATATCATTGCTTCATTTTGTCTAATCAACTTTATCTTTGTGTATGTTATTTTTGTAGTATTCATTTTAAAATGTAATTTAATATTTGATTTCTCAAACTCAGTCTGATGGGAATTCTCAAGAAAGTTAGTTTACACTACGATGAATTACCTCCATCTAGAGGTTATTTGAAGTATTGTTGCTTTCACAAGACTTCTGATTTTATAGATATAAGTATTTGCACGGGTATTGAATATACACTTAATGGGTGACAGCCATATTATTTCAACAATTACAATAACTCCACTCATTTCTTGCACTATTTGTGATTCAAAAGTAGCACTTTGTACTTGTTAGGGATCAGAGACAGCCTCCTGCAATAGAAGGATGACTGAAAATATGAGAATATAATATCTTAAGTTTTGTTCTGCTTCCCTACGTATAGTGTGGCCTTGCTTACTGATCAACACACACACACACACACACACACACACACACACACACACACACGTATGGGGCTTTGCTTCTATTTAGAAAATGGAAACAGACCTTCCTTCCTGTACACATATGCTATAAGGTGTGTAGCTATAGCTCACAAACTGTGGAGCACAGCTCCTGTGGAAGATACAGTTAGACCTACAGCCAAACCTATTTGGCCAACATACTGCAAACATACTTTATTATTTCAATTCCAGAGTATTTTAGGTTGATGTGATAAAGACAACAGGATCCTATAAAATGTTGAGGTAGCCTTAAAATTACAGCAAAGAAACTCTTTCCAGCTAATCTATAACCTCAGCTGTCCAATAAATATCTATTTTGCTGGATTTAGGCTTCAGACCCCAGTTTACCATTCATGTTGACTGAATGAGAAAAAAATGAAGAATAAAATTAATTTTATTAATGTCTTAATGTACTGTGAAAGACTCCAGAAGAATAAAGGTTTTTTCTCAATATTGAGAGAACTAGCTATATAATCAGTTTATCTAAATTCTACCCATTCTTTCACAGGTCAAAGTTTAAGATTTTCTTTTGCCACCGCCTTTAATTTTACAATTTGGTTGAATGAAGTCTTTTCTACCGAGTAGATAGAACACACTTTAAGAGTTATGGTTAAGACAACTTTAAGATACCACCTTACACCTGTCAGAATGGCTAAAATCAAAAACACCAATGATAGCCTTTGCTGGAGAGGTTGTGGAGAAAGGGGTACACTCACCCATTGCTGGTGGGAATGCAAACTTGTGCAACCACTCTGGAAAGCAGTGTTTCGGTTTCTCAGGAAATTCGGGATCAACCTACCCCTGGATCCAGCAATACCACTCTTGGGAATATACCCAAGAGAGGCCCTATCATACAACAAAAGTATATGCTCAACTATGTTCATGGCAGCATTGTTTGTAATAGCCAGAACCTGGAAACAACCTAGATGCCCTTCAACGGAAGAATGGATGAAGAAAGTATGGAATATATACATATTAGAGTATTACTCAGCAGTAAAAAACAAGGACTTCTTGAATTTTGCATACAAATGGATGGAAATAGAAAACACTATCCTGAGTGAGGTAAGCCAGACCCAAAAAGAGGAACATGGGATGTACTCACTCATATTTGGTTTCTAGCCATAAATAAAGGACATTGAGCCTATAATTCATGTTCCTAGAGAAGCTAAATAAGGTGAATCCAAAGACAAACACATAGGCATCCTCAGGAATATTAACCTTCATCAGGCGATGAAAGGAGACAGAGACAGAGACCCACACGGGAGCACCGGACAGAAATCTCAAGGTCCAAATCAGGAGCAGAAGGAGACGGAGCACGAGCAAGGAACTCAGGACCACGAGGGGTGCACCCACACACTAAGACAATGGGGATGTTCTATTGGGATCTCACCAAGGCCAGCTGGCCTAGGTCTGAAAAAGCATGGGATAAATCCAGACTAGCTGAACATAGCGGACAATGAGGAATACTGAGAACTCAAGAACAATTGCAGTGGGTTTTTGATCCTACTGCACGTACTGGCTTTGTGGGAGCCTAGGCAGTTTGAATGCTCACCTTAGGAGACCTGGATAGAGGTGGGCAGTCCTTGGGCTTCCCACAGGTCAGGGAACCCTGATTGCTCTTCGAGCAGATGGGGGGAGGGGGACTTGATCGGGGGAGGGGGAGGGAAATGGGAAGCGGTTGTGGGGACGAGGCAGAAATTCTTAATAAATAAATAAATTAAAATAAAAAAAAAATGCCAGAAAAAAAAAAAAAAGAGTTATGGTTAAATTGGAATTCAAACTTATTAAATTTTCACTAACTGAATTGATTTTTCACATTTTTAAAGTTAAAAATTAATACCGAATTTAAAAACACCACGTGAAACATAACTGGATCACTACTTTTTTGATGATAAAACTTAATCTGGGAATTTAAGTCCCATTGTCATAAACAAGGTATTTAATTTACAACAACAAAAAAAAATGAAAGAGAGGGTGAAGGGGATGAAGGGAAGCCATAGCACAGGTGCTTTTGGGGTCCCTGAAGAAGACTCGATATTGCTTCTGTGTGATGAAAGTCCTCACTGAAGGCAAGGTACATCTATAATGTGATTCTTCATGGGTTCAGAGGAATGTTGGGTTGTGGAATAATCTTTCTGTACACTGTGAAGATGTGTCACTCTGATTGGTTTAATAAAAAGCGGAACAGCCAATAGCTAGGCAGGATTCTGGGAAGAAGGCATAGGTGCCAGGAGATGCAGAGCCAACAGGATGGGCAAGATGGAGAGGAGGTAAAAAAGCCACAAAGCAGAAAGTAAATCAATAGAAATTAGTTAATTTAAGTTATAAGAGCTAGTTAGAAACAAGCCTAAGCTATCGACTGAGTTTTCATAATTAATAAATCTCCGTGTCATTACTGGGGACCAGAGGGTCTCAGTGAAAAATCTGACTACAGTGTTGGATAGAGGGAAGAGCAGCAGAAGACGACGAGGAAGGGAGAGAGGAAGTGAAAGAAAGAATATGGGAGGGTGCTAGGGAGAAGGAGAGAAACTCAGAGTGAAGAAGGAGACAAGACGGCCTTTTCTACACGCAGATCTGGCTAACCAGGTCCCAGATACCCAGTTTCCAAAGAGAGGAGAGAAAAGAGCTTGCTCAGTACAAACAAAAGCATTACAGTCCTCCTCAGAGTGAAGAAGCAGAGCCCTTTAACACCCACGCTAATCTAGAAGCATACATCTATACTGTGGGGATTAGATTACCTAGACAAACTAACTAGAGCTATAAACCAAGACGCTTACACACTACAGTGATCTTTTAAGTCCGCAGCGGAAAGTTAACTTCACGGTCACTCCTTTTCCAGGTTAGACAGAAGCACCAAGAGCAACCTTCACTTTCTGTTCCAGGGGCGCGCTGGGAAGCGAGTCACATGTTCCAGCTCCTAAAGTTTATTCCTCATTTCGGGGTGTGTTTCTTAGATTTTAGATCACACAAAAACTGCTGGATTTTTTGGGAAGTTAAAGCGAGTGTTTGTAAATGGGGCGCCCCCTGCTGACCACCGAATAAATAGACCGCTCTGCTCCTGGTTTGTCTGGTGAGCAGATCCTTAGGGGTAGGTAACAGGAACAGGGAAGAGGTAGATGTTTTGAAACAGATTTTGCCTAATGATGCCCCTAAAGACACAAAATAACCCCAGACTGGGCATGTTTCTGAAAACCTGCACTGAACAAGTTAACGTTTCACTGTAGAGCCTTAATGTCTGGGGAAACAGTATGAATAGCCCATGCGAAGAAAAGCAAAGCCAGCCTGCGCAGCAGTAACTAAGGATGCAAAAATGCAAAACTGCCACAACAGCAAAAGGAAGGCTAGTTTAAAACAATATGCTGCCTTTAGTTTTGCTTTCTATTTTTCACTATACAAGGGGCCACCACCCTCAAAACAGAAGCAAAGTAAAAAACCCCAAACAAACAAACAAAACCTGGAACATTTTCCCTTCTTTGTTCCACAGGTGCCCGTCCTCCGTCTACCCAGCTAGTCACATTTCTTTGTGCCGTCGTATGCACAGACTGGATTTCCCTGACCTGGGGTTCTGTTTCCCATAGCTTACCAGGTTAGAGAAAGCAACCTCTACGTTGTATGCACAGACTGGATTTCCCTGACCTGGGGTTCTGTTTCCCATAGCTTACCAGGTTAGAGAAAGCAACCTCTACGTCGTATGCACAGACTGGATTTCCCTGACCTGGGGTTCTGTTTCCCATAGCTTACCAGGTTAGAGAAAGCAACCTCTACATCGTATGCACAGACTGGATTTCCCTAACCTCGGGGTTCTGTTTCCCAAAGCTTACCAGGTTAGAGAAAGCAACCTCTACATCGTATGCACAGACTGGATTTCCCTAACCTCGGGGTTCTGTTTCCCATAGCTTACCAGGTTAGAGAAAGCAACCTCTACGCATTGCTTCTTTGGAGCACTTGTTCCGCATTTTGTTCAGACACAGGACGTAACTTCAGCCTATGTTTTCAGAAAACCTGGTGCATCTTATCAGACTTAACTATAGTTTACCTTCAAAGGCATGAGGCTTGTCAGATTCTCATGAGATACTCTCATTTAGAACATATCTAGCGGGAAATATGTGAGAATAACCATAATAACAATTACTGCACTATCGCTATCCTCTTCTGGGTGGTGAGCATGGCAGTCATAGCCTCCCAAACTCCTCAGAGTGTCGCGAGAGGTTGAGGCACAGGGATCCTGCGTGCTTACCACAGATGGCAATGTCCATTCATGGGTGCTCTCGTGATAGCTCTTTCTCCCAGTGTTTTCCCTGGAAGACAAAGAGAGCGAAGTCACTGTCATTGCAGGAGTTGGGGGGAGGTGGAGTCTTCAGCAGAGTCGTGGCTCCTTCAAAGGGTCCCGAAGTGGGGTAACTTCATAGGGTTCTGAGGTGGGGTAACTTCATAGGGTCCTAAGGTAGGGTAACTTTGGAAGAGAGCATTCACCAGCTGGGTCAATGCTTTACTCTGGGGGTCAGTCCTGATGATCTGTGCTTTACTCTGGGGGTCAGTCCTGATGATCTGTGCTTTACTCTGGGGGTCAGTCCTGATGATCTGTGCTTTACTCTGGGGGTCAGTCCTGATGATCTGTGCTTTACTCTGGGGGTCAGTCCTGATGATCTGTGCTTTACTCTGGGGGTCAGTCCTGATGATCTGTGCTTTACTCTGGGGGTCAGTCCTGATGATCTGTGCTTTACTGGTTTCCAAGGATTTTGTCGTGCGCTCAAATTTGAGACCCACTGGATTAATTGACTTAGGCAAGGCCAAGGAAAGTTTCTTATTCATTACTTAAAGTAAAACACACTGCTTTCGTGTAATCAATTCAAACGACAATTGCTGAGTGCTCATTAGTTGTCATGTTGTGTGACCATCTGGGAATAAAACATCACTTAGAGAAGGCCTTTGCCTTCCAGGGATTGCAACCTTCAGTATACAGCAAGTGCACAGACAAGCTACTTGGTTGAAGAGTACGGTCAGGGTCTCTGTGAAGGAGTCGGGATGGCCCGTGGAGCTCAGCCTGCTCATTCACAACGGGAATGGGTCTAGGGAATAAATGATGCCCTTAAAATACTATGCTCAGTTTAGAACTGCTTTTAGCCATGTGAGGACTATTCTTCACAGAGGTTCGCTAGTGGCTTGACGGTATTCTGAGACTCTCAAAGAGACTCTCTGTGCCTCTTTTTTCCCTGCCCCCACCCCTCTGTGCCCTGAAGACACTATCCAGGGACTACAAAGGCCATGCTACAAAAGTGGCATGGTAATCTTAAATAGGGATGGTCTAAAATAAGTAATTTATTATTTGCTCAAGGTGCATGTTATAGTTTATCCACTGAAAGATATATTTTGTGTGGAAATCAACCTAGGATGGAGAAAGTTTTAAGCAAAGCATTTTAGTAATAACTGGTATTTCCTTCGGACAAACACCAAAGGGGTCAGGTATTTTTAAACATGCTCCCTTTCCCCAGCTAGAAACATACTTTTTTGTTTGTTTGTTTGAGACAGAGCATCATACTGTTGCTTAGACTGGTATGGAACTCACTATGTATCCCAGGCTGATTTTGAACTTATGGCTATCCTCCTGCCTCAGCCAGCCAAGTAATGAGATTACAGGCATGAGTTACCACATCCAGCTAAAAATGTGCTCTTTAATGTGAAAAGCAAACTAAACTTTGCTTTAGACTTCAGGTGCCGCAGTTCTGGCACCTGAAGACTGAGGCAGGAGGATTGTGAGTTCAGCCACTCACAGCACTGTACAGCAAGACTTTCTCAAAACAGAAACTCAGATCTGAATCAATACTTCAGCTATTGAAAACTGGCGGTGCACAGCCACAGGCTAGGTAGGGTTGAACCCACCACTCTGAGGATAACAGAGGAAGTAGGGTGGCATCCAGGCTGGCTGTAGCGTCTCCTCTTCCCCCCCAAGAGCAGCTCCTTCCCTTACAGAATAGGATTCACACCTATCGTTGAAGTGCTATAGCAATGCCCCCTTAAGAATTAGAACGCTAGTTTACTTGGAATACGAGTGAACAGCCAACCACACTTGGAAAACATATTGCACAATGGCACACTGAGTTTTATAAAGGAGTTCCGGACGACACCCCACACAAGCTGATGAGGGAAAACACTTCAGCACCTCTCCTCATACTGAACCCAACATTCCACAAGAGCCGGCTGAATCCTTGCCCTTAGCCCCAGTGTACGCGATCTTGACCTTACTAAGTGTACATTCCTTATACACTGAATCATGATGGCCATTTATCAGTCCTTTCTATAAGTTCTCAAGTGTGGCACTGTCATACACGCATGTGTCCTTTCTTGGGTCGCTTTTCACCCCCCTCCAAACTTTAACACTGTTCCCAATAACATTTTGAATTAACTTCTTAAATGTACAAATAAAAGTGATTCTTTCTGCTTTGCTTCAATAACTGAATAAATCCCTTCTGTGTGAGCGAGAGCGATGCTCTCTTTTCTGCGATACTGTTACATTTTCTTCTTAAAGATAAACCTCATTTCAACCCTATGTACTACTGGCTTTACTCCTGGGTTTCCTGCATCCCGTCTCCCATGTTGCCATCTCATAGGTTAACTCCCGCTCTCGTGTCATTCTGTTGCCGTGACAAACACCGGGACCAAAAGCAGCTTAGGGGAGGAGATGGTCTGTCAGCTTACAGAGAGATCGGAGACTGCCAAGGAGGAAAGTCCGGGCAGCTTTGGGGAGGAGATGGTCTATCAGCTCACAGATCGGAGACCACAGCGGAGGGAAGTCAGGGCAGGAACTCAAGCAGGGGCTCAGCCCCAGGCCTGCTTGCTGTTCCACGCAGCATTGCTCTTCACCAAGGAACTCACAGCCACGAAGGCACAGCAGAAACCGAGGAGAATGCTGCTTGATGTCTCGCTTGCAGGCCCCTGCTTAGCTGGCTTTCTTGTTCGGTCCAGGACTACACGTCTGGGGAGTGGTACTGCCCACAGTGGGCTGGGCTCGCCTGAAGCAGTTATCAATCAAGACAACCCTCCACAGACATGACCACAAACCAGTGTGATCTAGGACGCCCCTCAACCGAGATTCCCTTCTCAGGCAACTCTGAACTGAGTCAAGTTGACAGTTAAGGCTAAGACAGCTCACTCGAACTCCCATTGAATTTAAAAACAGATGAAAACGATCGTACCTATGGAAACTGGTTACCTCCCTACATGAACCGCTAGCTCCTGCTAGCAACTTTTGCTATACACTCCGAACTCGCTACACCCTTCTAAAACAACAGCCCATCTCTGCTAGTCTCTTTATCTACGGCGATTTGAACAAACCGCCTTCCCAGCAAAGTCAGAGGCCCCCCTCAGTCTATTCTGAGACCCCTTCTATTTTGCGCCCCTCGTCTCATCTGCCAACAGAACACCCAAGAGGAGGTGTTAAGAAAAATGCATTACTGCTGATGAATGTCAAACAGTTTTTACATCAGTATGCTTTATTCCCCCAGCCCCCCACAGATATGAGTATAAAACTTCTAGACTCTGCTTGAAAATTTCTTCTCTTTGAAATTAATCTCTTTTCTAGAACTCCACCACGTATATTTCCTGCCAACTGGATCGCTATAGAACACTGACCCCCGGAAGGTGGAGGATAAATATGAACAGGGCAAGAGGGGAAATCTCTCATCTTCCTCCAGTGAGGGGGAAATTAAAGTGCAGCAATCACTTGGCAAGGAAGTCTTCCAGAGGAAGAAAGACCAATACAGATTCTGGTGTTACATCCTTTATGGAAATAAAAATGCCAGCACTAGACTTGGAGGGGTTCTCGCTTGCTATTTCTTTCTCATACGATCATAGAAAAGCCAGCAAAAGAGAAAGCTTTGGAACAGAAGGAGAGTAAAAACCAGCCACGACATCAACTATTCTGAAGCTCAGAGAGATGGGCGCTCAGGGGCTTCCATGAGAAAGCATTCTGACGCCCAGTGAGACATCAACACAGCCACCAACAGCAACCGTTTGACGGTCTCCTTGGTTTTTACCATGACTTGCTATTGTGGAAAATTTCAAATATATGCAAAAACGTACACGTGGCAACATCATGGTTGCCATACGCTCGTCTTAGCTAATCATCACATCAAGGCTGCCTTTGTTTCATGCAGACACATTGTGGGAATTCCTGACATGAGAGGTTATTTCTGTGTTCCTAGGCCTGCATGCCACAGGAAGTGAGTTGTGAGTGTAACTGTGAGCGACCACAGCTGGAGACCATGGTCCTCCAGACCAGCACAGGTATTTTAGCTTCCTGTGACATCACAAACTTTAAAAACTGAGGTCGGAGTTTTTCAGTTCCCTGCTCTAAATTATTAGCTCAATTATCTTAAAGGAACATAAACTTTAGTTCAGGAAGGCCATTTTGTTCTGAGACTGTGTACAGCTTTTGGTCACCAGAATATTTTGAAATAAATTGAGTTTTTAACTAAAATGACTTCACTTGAATTAAAATCTACTAATGATTTATTGTGGAAAACAACGCCACCTGAGAACAACCAGTCTTGACAAATGACTTACCGATATTAGCATAATGTTTCTTTTCTTGTGTATTGGTAGATAATTTATACATGTCTCCATAGGCTCGGGCAAGCCGCCACAGAAACTCTATTTCCTCACTAAACTGGAAAGACAAAATCAAACACTAGATTAATACACGTATTTGTCCAGACTGACGTACCTGTTTTCATCATACCTTAAAAGATTTAGGCAGGTAAGATGGTATTTATAGGTGAGTGAATTTATACATACAGATATTTAACATTTAAACCCAAATGTTATGGCTAAGAAATACGACCAGATATAGTGTTACATTTGGATCATAAATCAATTAATATTCAACAGAAACCGGACCCAGCCGTGTAGTGGACGGAACCGACACAGTCTCCCTAGACCAGGGCGCCCACTCTCTCAGTATCCTTTGCGAGTTATCTACTGCAGTGTAATGAATAGGTTACTGAGCACTGTAGGCAGTATTTATAAACTGAACTGCATATATTCAAAAAGACATTAGGATTTTTACTTAACTAATTATGAATATAGATTTTTTTTAAAAATTTTAAAGCTCTTATTGACAATAAGTGTTGCAGATCCTTACGGAGCATAGACTGGTCTTTTGGTATGCTTATACATTATGTGTTAATCAGTTAGGATTCATGGGTTTTACAGTGTGCTGGAGTTGCTAAACGCTCATACCCAGGTTAGGCTTATCTTGCTCATGGGCAAAAAAGATATTATTTCTCCTTGAGCTGTCATGAGCCCTTAGATTCCCCTTTGTCATTGGTGATGGTAAGACAAATTAGTTCTTCAAGCCCATCATGAAACACTGCAGAATGACTATTGGTAGAAACAGCTTTAAAATGCCGAGAGGTGTTACATTGATAGCAATATAGAAAACTTCAAATACAATTTTATTCTCTCCAGAGGACATATATGACATGCCTGGGCACAACGTCTTATGCTTCATGTTATAACACAGGCATTACATATCAAAGTTAATAAACGCAACACAACACCATATAAGGCTGGTCCCTATTTTTGTGACCTTAGGTAAAACTAATTAACTCAAATTCCATTTTAAAAAAATCATTCGTTTTATTAAAAACACACCAAACATTCTGTTCCTATGAACTGTGACATGGTATTGGAGTTCGATATGAGCAGGGTAGTACTTAACAGTGCCACACAGCACTTACCTTTTCTTTGTGGTCACACAGTAGCTCAAAACTCTCCACTTTGTTAGCCTCGGTTATCCGTAAACGGTCAACCTTCTGGAGGAGGACATCCAGCTTCAGCTCTTCAATGTGTGTGTTGAAAGCCTTAGCGACTGGGAAACTCTGCTCTTCTGTGTCAGTGTTAGCTGTAATATACCTAGGATGGCACAAACAACCACCAACTCCCTTTAGACTTGTGCACAACGACCCGGGCAAGCCTTTGAAAATGCAAGTTGAATTACTCCGCTCTGTGCTAGAAAATGTCGTGGCACCCATTGTTACCCAGAGAGAAGGTCAAAGAGCTGGCTATTTACAAGGACTTGAGCAATATGCCAAACCTAATAGTTCTCCAATTTAATCTCTAACCCATCTTCCCCGTCACTCAAGTCTACACTGGTCCTCTTCAGCCCGTCACCATGCTCCAGCCTCCTACCTTTACCTGCTGTGCTCCGATTGGATGTTCTTTCCCTAGACAGCAACAGAGTCTCTACTCTTGACTCAGTTACATCGGTGCAGAGACTTGTCTTAGTGATCCTTCGACCAGACCACTCGAATGCCACAGCACCAACTCTTCCTTCCTCTTCTCGATGTCTGATTTCCCCGCCCCCCCAGCTAACATTCTCTTTAATATGCTATAAACAATAGCCCTACAGCATGTGTGTTTCTTTTAAGCATCAGCTCCCCTAGAATATCGGCTTCTTAGTGATAAGGTTCACTAACTGAAGAGATAACTACCCAAAATGGTGTCACAAAGTTTACATCACTGGATGTTGCTGAAAACTGAATAGATTGTACCAACTTAGCAGGCACTTAAAAATGTGTGTGTGTGTGTGTGTGTGTGCATATTTACACATGGGTAGGTATTCAGCTCTAGGTGAACCTGATGAGCTAACTGTGTGTGTGTGGTGTACATGTGTGCTCATGTGCAGATACAGTGCGGTGCACATGAGTGGTGTGTGGAGGCCAGAAGTTGACATCAGCTGTCTCCCTGAGTCACTCTCCACCCTGTTTTTGGAGACAGCCTGGCTCATTTAATCTGGAACTCACCTGGTAGCCACACTGGCTGGCCAGAGAGTGCCAGAGACCTGCCTGTCTCCATTCCCTCAGTGCTGGGGTTCAGATGGGTGTGGCTGTGCCCAGCATTTACATGGGTGCTGGGGATCTGAACTTGGGTCCTCATGCTTGTGTGGCAAGCACAAGCACTTTTCATGCACTGTTCTAACTTTAGTTTAGTTTCAAAAATGAACACTGCTTTCCATGCTGGTTAGTTTTATGCTAACTTGACAAATCAAAGTCATTTGAGAAGCGAGAACATAAATGAGAAGTAGCCCCGACAGAATGGCCTGTCGGGTATTTTCTTGATGGATGATTGACATGGGAAGCCCCAGCTCACTGTGGGAGGTGGTGCCACCCTTGAGCTGATGATCCTAGATGGTATAAGAAAGGAAGCTGAGCAAACCATGAGGAGCAAGCCAGTAAATAGTACTTACTGGCCTCTGCATCAGTTCCTATCTCCAGATTCCTGCCCTGCCTGAGTCCTGTCCTGACTTCCTTTCATGGTGGGCTGTGATATGGGAGTATAAGAAAAATGAACTCTTTCCTCCCTAAGTTGCCGATGGCATGACGTTTTATCACAGCAATAAAAACCTTAACCAAAACAGAAATTGGTACCAAAGGGTAAACTGTTTCTGAGACAGACCCGAACATGTGTTTGCGGTAGGCTATGGAAGGACTTTGGGCTGGAAAAGGTTGAAAGATGAGGACTGTGACAGAAAAGGTCTAAAAGGCAGACTTCAGACTCATGGGTACCTAGGAATAGGAATCAATGGGCAGAGGAACACAACAGAACATTGAGGTTTCCAAGAAAACTCTTAGAAAAAAATTAAAGAATGTTAGAAGAGTTGCGTATGTGGCAGGAGGTGGAAAAATTGTAAGTACATATGCAAATAGATCTGTAAGAAATGCATGCTTTATGCCACTCAGCTTGATCACTGAGGGTCTTCTACATGGAGCCAGTGTACAGGTCTGGATATTCTTTCAAATTCTCAGTTTTCAACAAAAACCCACAAGCATACAAGGAAATGAGGTTCATTCAAAGAAAGAGACTGCGTCTCCGGACAAGGACGCTAAAAGTGAAGGCACACCTTAGAGTTCCCAGGCAGTGATTTTAAAATCATAACCTTAAACCTGCTTTAAAAGCCAGGAAAAGAAGGAGAGACTAAAAAACATTAAAAATAGGTACATAACAAATGAACAAAATGGGAAAGTCAACAAAGAAACACAAATTATGAAAAAGAACCAAATTACAGGGCTAAGATTATGTTAAGTGAACTGAAGTTTGATGGGTGAGAGCAACAGAGAATTTTAACATGGAAAACAAAGAACAGGCAAACTTAAACATTTGAAAGTATGGTGAGGAGTAAAAAGAATGAAGAATGAATAAAAATAGATACAGATACAACTTAAAGGGCTTGAGAGGTACCATTATGGTGATCAAACACACGTGATGAGGGTTCATGAAGATGAGAAGAAGGGACAGTGAGTTTGCATGAAAAAAATCTTCAGATCTGAGAAAGGACAAGTGCACAAAAAGCTCAGTTGATGCCAAGCAAAACAAACCCAAGGATGTCCACCCAAGGACCTCCACATGAGCTGCTGAAAAACAAAACCAAAGCATCTTGAAAGGGGCAAAGGGCAAAAGAAACTCAGCATATGTCAAGGATTGTCTCCTTTAGCAAACTTCTCGGCAGAAACCTTGTTGACCAGATCGTGATGAAACACCGCAATGCCACAAGGAAGAAAGGAATAACAAAATAATTCTACATCCAGCTAAAACTGCCCTTCAGACATGCAGGAGAAATTAAATACTTACAGCAAAAAAAAATTAAAAACCATGTTTATTATCTGCCCTACAAGAAGTGCTAAAAAGAGTCCTCCAGACTGGCCTTATACAATAACCTGAAGACAAATAAAAATGTAGATTTCTCAGGCTGGCGAAGCATTTATCTAACTATTCTTTATCAACAAATACTCAGAAATCAGATATCGGGGCAAGAACCTGAATGATCAGAGAATTGGCAGAGAAGCAACCAGTGACCTCCTCTCTTTCTTGTTCAATTCAAAAAGGGCCAAGACCCTCTCTAAGCCCCACCCTACCACTTCTTGTGTCTCTCTATCTGTCCTCAGTCCTCCAAAACATCTATGGCTAATTTTGGTCAGCTAGTAGCTATCTCTGCCCTCTGACTTAAAGCAAATTTTATTGGCAGTCTTGGGAACATCCGAATACAATCAAAATATCACATAAATTTCCCCCTTGTTGTCTAAATGAAAAGGGAATGTTTAACTATGACAGATAAAAGCTATATACAATAAGAACAATTATCAGAAAAGAACTAAATTTACAAGGTCCACTCCATTTTTATTTGGCATATTTGGAGAAAATACTCCATCTATTCTATCTTGGCAAGTCCAAAGTTTTGTACCTAATTCACTTTCTATGCTAACTTGTATTATCAATCCATAAATAATTTTTCTTAGACCTCAAACATTTTCTTAGATAAACAATTTAAGCTTTTATGTCTTTCAACCTTATACACTTTACACCTCTTTAGTGAGTTTCTTTTCTGAATTTGGTAACAAGGAAAACTGTAACTTTAATTATCTAATCTTCAATCCCATTAAGGACCTGAGGATATAACATTACCTGAGTAAATGGGAAGTGCATAGCAAACATCTTCTAAAACTATAGAAATGACAGAAACAGCTGGCTGTCTGGACAGTCACCCAAGGTTCCTCTGTAATGTTGGGCATCCATCTTCAGCCTACAGGCCTAGAATACCTGACGGATTTTTTTTGTGATGTAGGAATTTTGAAGGACTGTCCCACTTTGTCTTGGTTAAGTTCAGCAGTCACTTTATTTTCTGTCCTGCTTGTCCAATTCAGATAGCATACTGTCAGCAGTCAAAGCAAGAGCAGTTTCTTGCCTAGTGACTAACTTTGCCACAAAGCAAGCAAACTCTATATGGAGTTTCTTCGATGCCCATCATCTTCTCTGAAGTAGACTATTGGGAGCAGATGTGTCTCATTGTCATAAAAAGCTTATGTTATCAAAATATTTTATATGCCATATTCTGTAGATCTCTGAAGTGTCTGAAGACCACTTGTCTATCTAAAATATATCTGTTTGACCTTAAAAACATACCTAACATGAATACAAGCTTGATTGTTTTAGGTGAATAACTACTAACATGCATTTCTTTATTATCCTAAGACTAAAAATTTACATTACATTGTTAAATGAGCTGCATATGTATAATACCTTAAACAAGAGAAACATAGGCACAGTATGTTCTAGCAAAAATAACCTTAAATTTGTATCAATGTACAAAAATATGTTAAACAAGAGTAGAAACATTCTCCTTTGTTCTGCTTTTTTCCTGACCATTACCAAAAACAACTTGTAATCAATCCCCTAAATAATGACAAATATCCATAACCCACTAAATAACCTAAACCACCCACCCAGTCTCTTGGGAATATGGGTATTGTGTTCTGTAACTGCTTCCTATTATCTGGGGCAGGCAATGGCATCTCTAGGGGACCCTGAGAAAACTGAGATAATGGTCAAGTCCTGGGAGAGCTAGCTGTATCATTTGGTGCCAGGCTCTGTTTAATGGGAAAATGTAGGGCTTATCTGAAGTCCTAGCTGGAGTAGTCTGTGAGGCTGAACCATCTCAGTTAGCTACCTTGAAACTGTCCTGAGTAGTTTGTAGTCCAGAATTGATCTCTGGGTGGTGTTTGTCAGCTTAGTGGTGTTACCACAATCCAGGTGGAATTGTTGTGGAGCTCCATCATCCTTTTGAATACTTCAAAGGTCTCTGTTAGGAATGGTGATGCTATGTGCTATGAATATGTTTTATTGCCATTGGTTAATAAAGAAGTTGCTTTGCCTATGGCAGGGCAGTATATAGCAAGACAGAAAATCCAAGCAGAGAAAGAGGAGGAGAAAAGGCAGAGTCAGGCAGATGGCACATAGCTGCCCATGAAGCAAGATGCAACAAACCACAAGCCTGTGGTAAGACATAAAGTAATAAAAATGGGTCAATTTATAATGTAGGAGTTAGTTAATAAGAAGCCTGAGCTAACAGGTCAAACAAT